GAAGAATTTGCCTAAACAGGTCCTGTGGTCTCCAGCTTGTGAAGCCGCGTTTCAGGCACTGAAGCAAGCTCTTGTTAATGCTCCTGTCCTGGCTGCCCCAGTCCCTAACAAACGTTTTCTTGTACATACAGATGCTTCCATGTATGGACTGGGGGCTGTGCTAAGCCAGGTCGGGGAAGATGGAGGAGAGCACCCTGTCGCATACTTAAGCAGAAAGTTACTACCCCGGGAAGTAAGTTATGCGGCAGTGGAGAAAGAGTGTTTAGCCCTGGTCTGGGCACTGAAGAAACTGAGCCCTTATCTGTATGGACAAGAATTTTCCCTTATTACGGACCATAACCCCCTCGTGTGGCTTAACCGGGTCTCAGGAGACAATGGCAGACTGCTGAGGTGGAGTTTGGCACTACAGCCATATAACTTCACCATCAGCTACCGACCCGGTAAGCAGAATGGGAATGCAGATGGGTTATCTCGGCAAACAGACGTCCCTACTCCTCCTCAGTCCGGTCATCCCCAAGTTGACCCGCCAAAGGGTCAAGCCGGGTCTGCCGGAGTGTTCCACAAGGGGGGAGCCGTGTGACAGACCCATCTGTCTGGATTATAACTGCGTTGTTCGTCTGTTTTGCCGTTTTCATGAATTTCCCCGTTCGTATGCTTTGTTTAAGGGAATGTCGGTTTTGTCGAACGGAACTACCGAACGGACGGCCACCCAGAAGAGAAGTGTGCTGCTGGTTAACCTATTGATCCCAATTAGAACGTTGCGGTTAACCACAGACACTTCTCAATTAAAAACCGAATGCCGGGTGGTCGTCGTTCGTATGTCGACCACGAGGCGGCGGCCATTTTGTCCATGCGAACGACCAGCGGTGTTCAACGATTATTTCATGGATCGGAAAACGGACACTTTTTCAGCCGAACACCGCTGAAGCCGTCGACCTCCCCTTCTCAATCGACAAAAGCATGCGAACGACAGCCGTTCGGGAGATTCAACCACACGAATGGACTTAACCCAGATAGCCGTCCCATGGAGTCAATCGCATACCGAAGAACTGAAAGAGACTTTGACTCCATGGCGATTGAACTGTGCGAATGGGATCTGAGCGCTATTCTCCAATAATGTGCCCTCAGATCCAGGCTATCTGGGGATATGCAAGACTGATGTAAAATGTTCAGCAGTTATTAAGTTATGGATTTTTGTGTGTTTTTGTAACTTGTATCTAAAATGGCGATTGCCTCTGCTCGGGGAGATAATTGAATTACTTCCCAATTATCCCCCGAGCAGAGGGGAGGGAACTGTACTGCATGCTGGGAATATTGTGGGGATGTATGTCCAGAATGTCCCCATGTCCCTCTGTGATTTCAGTCTCCCATTTGGTCCCCTAGGGGAGTGTCCACCAAGTGGGAGACCTGCATAAATACCGGGCAGGTAGCCCACAGTAAACCAGTTCGTGTTTTACCCTCAAAGCGGAGCTTGGTCTCGTTATTGGGGGGATTTGGATACTAGCGGCGAGAGACTGCTTACTTGGATTATTTGCCGCTTGGGAGAGATTGTCGTTCGGTTATTAATTGCCGTTCGTGGATTTGCGGCTTGCGAAGGGAATTAGCCGTACAGGTACCGTTCGGGAGTTTGGGGTGTTCCCTGACTGGCGTTCGCATGGTTTTATTATACCCGCTACCCGACCACATTATTGCGAACGGGGAATACTCGCTAAACGGCGGTTTGTACGTTTCGTTCCTGGAGGTACCGTAACAGGAAGATTTCCCGGTTTGACCACTCTTCCAATTGGAGAGCCGAGCATATTCTCTGCCTGGACGATAGGTTTTACTATCTCTATATCCTCCCTGTGGCCTGTAAGGACGATGGTCCTGTTGTGGTCTTTTTGGACGCCTGTCCTGTGGAAGCAAGATTTGCTTGACCTCAGCCGCTTTTTTAATCGCCTCCTCAAGTGGTCTGCCAAAAAGCACCTCTCCCAGAAATGGCAAGGTACATAAATTATTCTTGGAAGATAGGTCAGCTCCCCAGGATCTCAACCAAAGAGCCCTTCTGGCAGTAACCGAATGAGCCATAACCTTGGAAAAAATCCTGATAAGATCTGTGGAGGATTCCAACAGCCAATCACTGGCCAGTTTGATCTCCTTCAAGGAGTCCGTCATGCGACGTCTACTCACTCCTCTCTCAATATCCTCTTCCAAATCAAGAATCCATGAACGTAATGCTCTGGACAAAGCAGAGATAGAGACTGCTGGATGACAACCCAAGCCTGCTGTAGTGAAGACCTTAGAAAGATCTGCGTCAATTCTCTTATCCATGGGTTCTTTGAGAGAAGCATTACTATCAATCGGAAGAGTTGATCTTTTTGCCACCTTAATAATTGGAGCATCCACTTTAGGGACCGCTGTCCACATTCTTGAATCCTCCTCCTTAATCGGGTACAATTTTGATAATCTACCCTGACTTGTAATCCTTTTACCAGGAACATTCCATTCTGAGCGAATCAGTTCTTTAATGGATCTGTGCACTGGAAAGGAAGGTTTCCTCTTATGGAGATCTCCGAAGTGTCTATCAGAAGTAGAAACTTCCCTGACTTCTTCTGGCAAATCTAGAGTCTTTCTCACTGCCTTGATTAGATGCTCCATCGCCTTTGTGTCCAATGAACACGGTTGTTCCGTGGACTCTTCCTCACTAGAAGAGATAAGCTCCAAATCCAAGGAACCAGCAGGATGTCTGAAGTCATCTTCAGATAGGTCGGATTCTTGGCCAAAGCTCTCACGCCTGGGTCTTTTGCCTCTATTGGATTCTGAAATCCCTTCCGCCACTGCTTGCTTAATCCAATAAGCTATATCCTGAGATGAGGACGTAGAGGCTTGAGGAGACCTGCGATGTTCCGACTCTCCTGCAATCATGGATAAACATTTGCGGCATAACCTGCAGTTATCCAAAGGCCTTGCGCCACATCCAGGGCAGGCCGCCGGTTTATCCCTCCTCTTAGATGGAGATCTAGGGCCAGACCGGTCTTGAGGGCTGTAAAACACAGAAGTCATATGACTGTACCCTCCATGCACTCTTTTTTAATGTAGTAAATAGAATATACTGTAATGCTCACCTATGACCTATAGTAGATCTTGTTGATTTAGCTGATGAAGATGCAGGATCCATTTTTTTATTTATTTTTATAGAAGGGCTGCATAAAAAAAAAAAAGTGTCACCATGAACTTCATGCAGCAAAAACCTGAACATCCTCATATATTATAGAAGAATAACTTAAAACATACCTGCAGAGACAGAATATGGCACCAGAGAGCACTGAATAACAGAGGGAACTGAAAACGCCAGCTTTTTTGAAGAAATACCGCCATTTTCAAATTTCCCGCTCTGTGCCTTTAAGGAGGCGCGCATGCGCCGATTGGCGGCAAGTCCGCGGGTCCGCCATTTTGGATGAGGGCAAACATGCCGAAAATCCGGTCGTGTCCATTGCGCATGCGCGGGCGTCTTACCGGATAGATGATCGTCTGATCGAGATCTGGAGGCTTTATCCTGTGAACTCAGGCTCCAGATGCCAGGGGGACTACCCACCATGGTTCCCAGGGGTTCCCTGCTCGAGGAGAGAAAGGGCTACATGTGCCTGGGCTTCCTGTGGAGGGAGGCTGACCTCCACAGGGTGAAGATCATAGCAGCATGATCAGGTGAGCATAAAGAAAAACTTTACCCTTTAAAATTCAGGGAGAAAAAATAAAATAACAACTGTCCTAGGGCTATGAGGACAGGAAAAAAAGACTGAGGTGTGATGGCTGATGGGGTTCCTATTATACAAGGGGAAGGTATGCTTAATTGTTTAATTGATTGTGTTTCCTGTCCTGAGGGTTAGAGGGAGGAGCTAAACCCATATGTTAAATGCTGCCATGATTAGCCAGGAAATATATATATATATATAGCATTTAGGATTAGTAATAATTAGTGGGATCTATTTAGATATGTTTATTTACATAGATGTTGTATAGCTGCAATATATAACTTTATGTATATCTAGTAGTTAGATCCCGAAATATATTTATTGACATTTAGTAAGTATCAATAATAACTAAGGGGATCTATTTAGATATGTTTATTGATTTATACACGTAGGTGATAGCTGACTTATGGGGACTTCCAGGTAATTGGGGGACCATTGCAGATTTACTTTATTTTTTATTTATTGTCTACATTGTTTTTTTTGTTTACATATATGCTAGGGTTGTGCTTACTCTATGTCACTGTCACTCATCACTGGGCTGGGCTACACATTTGCAGCGTTTTGACTTTTACACATGGGTTGCTTTCATTTTTATTCTGATTTTTTCACACACATTCACTCACACACACGTACATATTCACACACTCATTCACATACATATTCATTCTCTCCATCATATTTCATCTTTTTACTTATTGCATGTATTTTACATTCACACATTTTACTTTCACTCTCTTTACACATCTTTATATAGTTGATACCCTTTTATATCTCTGCAGTGGATTATTTTGACCCTTTAGCCATGGGATTATAACTGTCCACTGTATTATTGCTATTTTGTTATGTTTTATTTTATTTTTATGTGTCTCCTCCATGAAAAACTAGCACTGGGATACGCTGGGTCACTATGGTTACGGTTGGTTTATACGCGGTCACGTCACCACGTTCCTGCACACGTCATCACGCAAGCACTCATGCACGTCATCACGCACACGCCCACGTCACCACGCACGCACTTTGGCGGTTTCCACTTGACGAGTAATGGGAATCACTTCACACAGATGGGGTAAGTTTGATATTTAATATTTGGTATATATATATATATATACATATTTTGTGCACTGTCATTATCTTGATAAAGACCCTGAAGGGTTGAAACGTTGATGTAGATTGATGAATACTTTTTAATACACTATTGGAAAATCCAAGTGAGTGCTCCTGTCTGAATTTATATATATATATATATATATATATTAAATTCTGCTATAGAATAAACTTAAAGGCGTACAGTAGCCGACTTCTTTCACTTGTGTTCGGTTGTCCATACACCCTTGTTCGTCTCCCGAATGGATGGCGTGTGGTCCCCTTTTTATACCGCCCCGAACACTGACCTCCCCTGGCTCTTAACCACAAATGAAATGATTAACTCGAGTGCTTTCCCTGGGTGGCCATTTTGTGTTTTTGTATTCCGAACACAGGCAGCGATACATGGTTATCGAATGCCTGGAACTATTTTCGGCCATGCGAGTCCTGAACCCGGCCCGCTGCTGGTTCCACTTCCTGACCAACTAGACGAACGACGTTTGGGAGATATGAACTCCCGAATTGGGATGAGCATTTGCTCCCTAAAGGCCAGGGAGAACGTTCATTGGTGTTCGCACGTGAACCCTC